CTCCCATGGCTCCTTCAAACCCGCCCTGGCCCTGCGAGCGGGGCTCGCCTCGCTTTTCGGTGCCCACTGGGTTTGTCCCCGCGGAACAGTGCCTCAAAACCGCGCTGAAAATAAAATTCTTGCCTCCCCCCCTCCTTCTTCTTTCCCAAGTCGTGCCCTTGATTTGCCGGGGAGACTCGGCCGATTTTGCTTGCTCACGATGATGCCGTCCTGCTGCTGCTCGAATTTCTTTGTACGGGTGCCCGCACCTCCCTCCCTCCTTTTGTCGGAGCAGAGCTTTTCAGTCCTCGCCGTTTTGTGCACCCTTAAAAACATATTGCTGGAGATGTGGATATTTATCTATAGAAGCCAAGGAGAGAGGTCATGTTTCGTTACTGCCTTTCATTAAATCCCCGTAAAAACAGCGGGGTTAATAGTCTTGAAGTGTCTTTTGTATTTTTCTCATTTAATACTCCTTTCTGTATGTTCCCCTAAACTCTTTTGGGTGTCTGAAGTTAGATGCCTGGCTACCCTTCGTTAAATATTTGATCGAGACTGGTGTTTTTAATGCCAAGTGTGGAGATAAATTACCTGACCAAAAAAAACGATGCTGGTTTCTGCTGTAGCAAAGCATGGAAACAGCCTCCCGTTTTTCATTCTAGTGATGTGAGGGATACTCTAGGGTTTCAGTTGTGTTCTGATACCCTATTAACTACAAAGAATAAGTGATATCCTTTCATCTTTTGTTGGAGGGAAGAGTAATTTAGTTGCTTTTTTCATGCAAAATGTTGATACAGATCAAGAAGGGATGGCCTGTTGCAAGTTGGGAGAGTGTTTTGTGTTTCATGAAAAGAATAAATAAGGCCTATTTCTTATCGCAACTTTGTAATAACAAGTATGAAAGCCTCAGTCATTTCTGTAGCTGTTTATAGGCTCTCTCCACCCTAATGAAAACACTCAGTAAGGGTTTCTATTTTCATCAAGTTGTTAGTTAAAAACCTCTTATTAATTTTGACTTCTCAATTAGTGTCTGAAAGTTAGGAAAAAAACCAAACAAACTAATTCTGTTTCTTCCCTCTTTGGGTGTAGATTGGGTGTTTGACTTTTGACTGTCCCTTGTTAGGGCTGTAACAGGAAGATAAAGGGATAATCTCTCAAACCATGTATTTTTGCTATCCAGAGTTAAGCATTAAATGAACATTATTTTTTTTTAAATAGATCTTGAACTGCTGAGTAGAAATTGGAAGCCCAGTTGGCCTTAGTTCACATGCACATTTTACTTGGCTATATGTTTTACTTTCCGTGTAATTGAAGTCTAAATAGAGATTTATTTTTTTTTTCCCTCTGCTGGAATTGTCAGCTAGAAAAGTAAACGTAACTGGATGGATTGCTCTTGAATGCAGTTCTAGATTTTTCAGTAAAGAGATACGCTTAAAAGGAGTGCTGGCTTCACTACTGTCTATACTGATTAAGATTAATCACACAGCAGAATATGGCAGTAGTCCCCTTTTTGGAAATGTTCTAGAGTGAAAGCCTAGCAAACTGGCAACGAAAAAGGACCTAGTTTGTGTTTTCAAGTTACTTCTCAGACACTGCTAAAGATGCAGGAAATTCTCCTTTGATAGAGTGATGCTCTGCGTTAGGAGGAATCACAAGTCTGGTTTACATGGGTGAAATTGTTTTCTAATATCTCCCCGAGTACTTCTTTAACTGGTAATTGAAACTGCAATACCAAATATCACAAGTGCAGAACACACAAGAATAATACTACTTTTTCTTAAATTATTATAAGTAAGCTCCTTTAAAAAGAAATAATAAACAAAGAATAAGACCAGAAATCTATTTAAGAAAATACTGAAGTAACTTTCAGTCATCATTTATTTGGCAGTTTTCAACAAATTTTAATTTTCTGTAGCTAGCTTTTCACCAGGGATGATTATAGAGTTTGAATTACTGAAAAGGTGAACTGTACCGTATCCTGCTTTGGTCATGGAAAAGATGTCTACTCAGTTTGTGATTGCAAAGTTGTTATTATGGACAGTTGTTTTATTTTTCTTAAAATATCCTTGTTTTGACAACACTGACCATAAGTAATAACCATTTTCGTAAATAGAGCCAGCCTCAGCTGCCATATAGAGTGATTTGTCTATGTGGCAAGAAATGAAGGCACAATATTGGTAGTGTTCCCTTCCAAAATAGTCAAATGAGCTTTCATAGTATAGGATGTTCTTACTATTAAGTGTAACAAAAATAAAAGCTAGGATCTTGAGGAGTTTATTAATGAAAATCTCATCACTTCTCTTTCAATAGAGGGATTTCTTTTACTCCAAAAGTATTGTTACGCTTGAGAATTTTCCTCAGCTGGCAAACAGGGTCTGGGCCAGAACCATGCTTCTGTTTTGTTCTTGCTCACCTTCCAGGATGCATTTTCACAGATGGCCTTCAGCAACTACAAGTTTGCGCAGTTATCAAAAGAGGTTGTACCCTGCTTCCAACAAACAGTGCTTTCCTGCCTTGGAGGACCCTGGATCAGAATAATTTCAGCTGAAAAACTAATCTTTTGAGGTCAAAGGGGTCTCGAAGGTGCACAGTTAGAAACATAGAAACATCAAGGTTGGAAAGGACCTTGAGATCATCAAGTCCAACCTACAGCCCTACACCACCCTAACACTAAACCATCTCCTGAAGTGCCACATCCAGCTGTTTTTTAAACATGTCCAGGGATGGTGACTCCACCACCTCCCTCAACAACCCATTCCAATGCTTCACCACCCTTTTGGTGAAGAAGGTTTTCCTAATATCCAATCTAAACTTCCCCTGGCGCAACTTGAACCCGTTCTCTCTTATCCTATCACTAGGGAGAAGAGGCCAATGCTTCTCACTACCAGCTGCCTTTCAGGTAGTTGTAGAGAGTGATAAGGTCTCACCTCAGCCTCCTCTTCTGCAGGCTGAACAGCCCCAGCTCCCTAAGCCTCTCTTCATATTCAGTTCGTAGTTGTTCATATTCAGTTGTTAGTTGTTGCAGAGAGAATTAGCAGGTTTACATTAGTTTAAGTTGATAGAGAAGCTCTAAAACTTTTTAAGGTGAGACAGATCTTTTCTGAGTTAGAGCCTCAGTTCTGACTTTCAAGCTTGTAAAACTTTTTCTAACTGTATATTCCTGTATCATGTCTTTCCATATGTGTGTCCCTCTCTAGCACTGAGCATTGCTTTAGTGTTGCTTTAGGCTTTCCAGGCACAGACCAAGAGCTCTGTCATGTGTAGGTCCCTGTTGCTAGCTCCCCCATTTTTATAGGAGCTAGTGCCTTTATGGGTGAGCAAAGGATTTTCCACAGATGATCATGGAGATGTGTATTGGAAACACAACTGTGCTGTATTTTGGAAATGATGGTAAGGTTTCCCTAATAGGAAAGATTGGCAAAATTCTTTGGAAGTAAAATGAGAAATTACATAGTAGTGGAACAGAAACTCCTTGGTCTTCACATGACCTGCAATATTTCTTTTTTTTCCCTTTTTTTTTTATTTATTTTGACCAGTATGCTTTTCATGAAAGAATGTTAACTATATTTTGTGTTTTTTTTCTTTCTTCCTTTTTAGCTTGGTTTTACTCTTGGCAATGTGGTTGGGATGTATCTGGCTCAGAACTATGATGTAAGTATCTAGAGTTAAGCCTATTCTGAACTTAAAAGTTAAGGTGTTTTCCCCTCAGTCAGAACTGAATCACACTTTATTTTGATCTACCTCTGAGATATTCTTTGTGATAATGCTTAGAGCCTTAAGTGGTGTTGGAGCCCTAGAGTACAGTAATGGTAAGGAGGCATCTACTTAGACATAGGAGAAACAGAAAAGGTTTATCAGCTGGTCATGGATTGTAGTAGCATTAAAATACTGATTTCCTGGCACAATCTATCTGCTTACAGTGTTCTCCACTCACTACACCTGTTTGTTACTTAAAAATCCTTCAGAACATCTGAAATCTCTGTCTTTTGTACCAATAATGAAAGTAAGTTTTGTTAGCTTTTTATTTAAAATTCACTACACTTCAAACAGTATATTGATCTGCAGTCTGTCATTACTCCTTTTCTCACAGAGAGAAAAGAAAGTGGAGTTTCTTTCCTCAGTTCTCACATTGAAGGGGGATTTTTCAGTGAGAGAGTAGAAGAATAAGATACACAACTGTCTTTAGTACAAGCTTTTAATTTCTGCAGTCAGCAGAATCCTTTGCAAGAGCAGTGCCACTTGGCATTTTCTTATGCAAACTATATTAGCCTAGTTATATTAAAAAAAAAAAGGCAGTTGAGGGTCAAATCTCTGATAACATTTAGGTTTTACCTTCTTCTCATCTTCAGTATTGAAGTCACTTTGCTTGCAAAATTGTTAATTTGGGGGTCTTGCTCATGCGTAAATTTTTGTGGCGCTTCTTGTTCTGTCACTCCAGTAAGGGTACTAATAAAATGCTGGGGTTTTTTTTCTTTCCAATGTATGTTTTACAGTGTTAGGAAAATGTAGTGATAAGAATATATTTGGGTGTATCGATATGCATCATAAGCGTGATATCATGCTTTTCTGGCAGCACTAATATAGTATTGTCAGAAGAGGAGGACTTATAATTTTGATTTGCAGGGAATGGCTCCCTGGGAATGTAACACTGACTTTCAGAATGAACATGGTAATTTTAATGCTGGTGTTGATGACAATTTATTTTAGAGGACCTCTAAGATAAACTTGCCTTAATGAGATCTTAATTCTGCAGCCTTACACGCATGTGCTTAGTTGTAACCACATGGAGGGTTCTACTGACAACAGTGGAGTTCTCATGGTTTAGCTTAAATATCAGGTGTGTTACAGGCTAGACTCTTAGTTCCATTTGCTCAAAAAGAGCTTAACTTCAAAAGTAAAAGCAAAAGAGAAAATTAGTGTTAACTGTACTGTCAGCCTGAAACCATCCAATGAGGGAACTGCAGTCTGCTTGGCTTAACTTTTCTTCTTCTCTGTGTTCAGGTTACCTATGGAGTAAAATTCCATAATTTTTTTCCACAACTGCCAGTAGAAGCTATGCTTTACTTTCATTTTAATCAGTTAGCTTGTAAAATCCTATATCATCAATTTCCAGTTTTAGCCAAGTCATGAGATCATCTATTCCTTGCCCTTAAGAGCTGCTTTTTTTTCTTTTTGTTTTTTTAATTCAAGTTGTCAGAATTTACTGTTGAATTACTTTCTCTTACAAATGAAAACATTTCGATAAAGCTGAAGCCTTGAAGCTCACAAGCAACAAATTAAATTTTCATTCAAGTGTGAAACTACAAAAGGCTACCAATTTGCAATGCAGTAGAATTCCACTGTGAGAAATTCTGGTTCCCACGAGATGGCCCAGTATTTCTTCATAAGTTTCTTGAGAACATATTTTCTGCTCTTAAACATCTCTTTTTCTCCTGGTTTGTGACCAGTACAGTGCAATCTAATTTACCCTCTGAAAGTCATAATTGAAGTCAGTGCATCAGTGTTTAAATGAGCTTATTCTTGGCAGTTTTCCCTCTTTTTAGTTGGGAGGGCACTCTGCTCTTATTAAATTTCCTATAAAGTGTTCATTTTTCCCTCCCTCCTGTTCTTGTCACCACTGGCTGACTTTTTGTTTTAACAATATAAATTGTTTCCTGAAGCCTCATGTGAGGTGCTTTCCTCTGCTGTTTGCTTGATATTGCTTTGTCTTTACCCTCTATGCAAGGTAACAAATTGGGGAAGAAAGTATCTTTTAGCAACGAGTTTAAACTTCGTCGAGTTTCTTGCTGTATTTATGCTATTGTCTTTCCTTTTTCCTGCTGAGGTCATGTAGTACAGGATTTCTTTGTTAATTTGTGTGGGATTTGTTTGGTTTTTTTGATTTTGTCTTTAAAGATTCCTAATATTGCCAAGAAGCTTGAAGATTTTAAGAAGGATGTGGAAGCTAAGAAGAAACCTCCCAGTGACAAGTCCTAAGAGAGCAATGTTACCCAGGTCACCTCTGTGCATGCATCAAGGATGCAATTTACCTTTCAGGCAAGGAAGATCAGGTAGAGGGTTGCCATGGGAAGTTCCTGCAATTTTAGTCTCTTAGATCTGGAATGTCCTTCTTTTGAAAGAGCAGCCATGAACTTTTCCTGGGACTGATTTTCAAGGGTTTCAGAATTTGGATTTGCAGCTGATATGTGACTGGATAAGATCGTTTGTATTTTTTGTTATTGCTTTTCCTAATATTTTGTAACCCGTTTTTACCTGATCCAACTGGAGTCCTGTTACTATGTGTACCTCACACTTTGTAATACCCTAGTTCTTAGAACATCGCAAAAGAAATTAAATCCATCAAGAAGTAACTTTCAGGGTTTCTTGTCGTTTGTTGTAAGCATCAGGACTTCGTTGTCCTTAACATCCACATTCCAGCACTGGAGCTGCAAAAGTTCATTTGTCACACTATGAACCTGGGGAGAAGGTTCAATGATCTCTTCCAGCAGTGTAGACTTTGCACAAACACAACTGATTTCAGAACGTGTAAAAGGCCATCAACTTTAACCTATGGTTCAAATTCAGTGTTTCTTCTATTGTCCCTTTCTCTTTTTCCCTTTATTTGGTTCCTTGAAGATGTCTCTGGAGTGATGGGGAGAATGGGAGACAGGAGACTTATCTTCCATAAGTGGCAGTTGGGGTATGTGGAGCTCAGCAGTTACGCTGTGAATCCAAACCATTCACATCTATGTACTTAATGGTCTAGTTTGTGTAATTGCTCAAAGGATGTTTGTTTTACCACTTCTTGATGTGGAACAAGGACTAGAGCTGAATATTTCTAGCAAATATGTCTAGTATTCCCATTACTTTGTCATTTCTGTGCAAGGTCTTCAGACTTTTGCCTTTCCATTTGGTTCAGTTTTCTACCATGTATTTTCTTAGGAGTAGGAACATTTATCTGCCCTCCCCCTTATTGTTTGTCTGTTATGCTCCTCTTTACCCATTGCTGCCACTAAAAATCCTGGTGTGTGAGAAAATACACATCGTATTGTAGCGCCGTCCTCTTCTGTTTGAATGGAAAGCAAAGTCTGAATTTGGATACCATAGTTTTCACAAATTCGGTTCAAAATGCTGAAGAAAATATTGCAGTAATTTGTATAGATAAAAGTTTTATTCAGTAATCTCAGATAAAAACTATTTATTTTTTTTCCTGTTAAATAAAAAGAGTCCAATCAACTCTGTAATGTTGTTTACATCACTGAGTCCCCTTAACAGTCTTTTGCAGGACATGAGGGACAAAGAAAAGTACCAGGAAGATATTCTCCTTGCTTTTATGAACAATACCTGGTGATAGATTGTTACAGGTAAGTAGGAGGAATAAGCACAGAGAATGATCTCCTCCACTCCTTCAGGCTCTCAATTAAAGCACACTGTGCTGAGTTGACCCTGGCTGAATGCCAAGTGCTCACCAAGCTGCTCTGTCACTCCCTCTCCTCAGCTGGACGAGGGAGAGAAAATATAATGAAAGGCTCATGGGTCAAGATAAGGACAAAAAGAGATTGTTCACCAATCAATTTGATTGTTACCAATCAGAGTAATGACAAATAATATAAAATCTTAAAACATCTTCCTCCTACCCCTCCCTTTTTCTTCGGTTTAACTTTACTCCCAAGTTCTCTACCTCCTCTCCACCAGCAGCACAGGGTAACAGTGAATGGGGCTTGTGGTCAGTTCATCACTCACTCTCTTCTGCTCCTTCCTTTTCAGGGAGAGGAGTCCTCACACTCTTCCCCTGCTCCAGTGTGGTGTCCCTCCTGCCAGGAGCCTGCTCCAGTGCAGGCTCCCACAGTGTCACAGCCTCCTTTGGGCTTCCACCTGCTCTGGCATGGGGTCTTCCACAGGCTGCAGATGGACATCTGCTCCATCTTCATGGGCTGCAGGGGGACAGCCTGCCTCACTGTGGTCTTCAGCATGGGCTGCAGGAGAATCTCTGCTGTGCTGCCTGGAGCACATCCTCCTCCTCCTTCTCCGCTGACCTTGGTGTCTGCAGAATTGTTCCTCTTGCATGTATTCTCATGCCTCTCTCTGGTTGTCGTTGCTGCTGTGTAGCTTTTTTGCTTTTTTTTCCCCCTGTCGTAAGTACATTATCCCAGAGGTGCTACAACCATCACTAATGTGCTCGGTGTTAATCAGCATTGGGTCTGTCTTGGAGCCAGCTGGCATTAGCTCTATTGAACATAGGGAAGGCTTCTAGAAGCTTCTCACAGAACCTGCTCCTGTAGCCTCCAGCTACCAAAACCTTACCACACAAACCCCCACACATGTACATCTGTATTTATATATGAGAAATTTTTCACCTGTGATTTCCCGTCCTTCCTTTCACTGTCTGCCCTGGAATGTGTAGCTGACATAAAAGCATTTGGTCTTTGCTAATGTGTATTTGGCAAATTTAAAAGCCGCCTCAAGTCAGACAGTGTTAGTAGCTATGCTACCAACTCAAACAAAAATTCAGCAACAGGGGGAAATATTTTTACCACCTAACATTATCAGAAAACTTGCAGTAGCAGTATGTGTTGAAGATAGCAACAATGTGTTTGGTGAAGGGAGTTCACAAATAAAGTACATGGCTGTTACTGAAGTAGTAGTATATGCTCTGCTCTTTGAAAGGGGTTTCTGTTCGGTTTCATAGACTTTATACCAGACTGAAGGAACTGTCTTCCACATACAGAAACTTTTTCATAGAGTGAGATGGTACTACACAGCTGTTTTACTGCTTTCATGAATGTGACGTTTCCTTTCCGTCTACCCCTGCTCACTCTTTCCTGTGACATAATATTAAAAATACGGGCTCTAACCCATTCATATTTTGTTACTTTTCATAAAAAATTATGTGAGCATTTCAAATGGGATTATTTCTTTCCTCAAACATCCTTTATGTTCTTCTCTTTCTTTACACAGAAATGAGAAGGGAAATAGTATTCAAAATCTCTATTTGTTGCCAAACATGCCTGTATTACTCTGAAAGGGCAATTTGAAGCTGAAACTTCCAGCTGAGCATGCCAAGCAGATGTTTGTTGGTTTTTTTGCTACCAGATTATGAAGTGAGCCAGCTACAGCTGTGTTGCTCTAGAAACAATATATGCTTATTAGTATTTGCTTATTAATATTAAAGACAGGACTTCTTAAGTGTCTCATTTTTGGCAACACTTTCCATTTTAGCTCAAGCTGTACTTTTGTCCTACGTAGTAAGCCGAAGAGCTGGATAACATTATAATACAGTTTTTGTCAACTTTGCAACTACTATATGACACAATTTATCTAACTGATTCAGCCTGAGGCTGTCCTAGATCATACTAAAGACTAGCCTTATGTTTCAGAGGATGCACACAGATGATGACCGCTTGATGCATATCTTGCAACTGAGGGCTCAGAGGGCTTTGGATGCAGTCGTGTCACAGCAGGTTGCAAAGGAATAATGAGCCTTTAAATTACCTAGGAGCAAGTCTCCCACTTGTAGGTACTGTGAATTTCTGCACATTCAAAATGCCTATAGAGGCGCTTCTTATTACAGGATCGGAAGCCAAAGGGAATCCCAGTGCAATCAGTGTCCTCAGCCCCACAGGTGTGGGGTCTGTTGACAGCCTCAGGCACAGCAAGGGAGTGAACCGGACCTGAGATCCATCCTAAGAGGTCTGTTGAACAAAAAGGGATGGAGTCAGAGAGTTGACTGGAGATGAGGCTGTAGCACGAGCTCAGCATCCAGTCAAGAGATGACGCCAAAGGCAGACAAGAGCCTAGAGCTCCAAATCTATGTTTAAGTGGGGTTCATGAGCCTAAAGGAAGAAGGTATGTGTGAGCCTCAGGTGAGGCTGGCCAGGGGCATTAAGGCACTCATGGCCCTGGCAATGGCTTTCCTAACCCCATTCAACTCAGTTAAATTACTAGTGCCTCCAGCTGCCTTCTGTAAAAATGGGTTATACTTCAGAAGAATTACTCAAGGACAGGGAAGATTTTAATGAAGCCAGCCCTTTCTATTTATGTTTTTATATTAGGTAGCATCATCTGCCTCAGAAAGTTTTCTTATGAATTCAGGTAAAGATGCATGACTCATGTTAATGTGGAGCAACATTCTTCACAGTGATTTCTGTGAGTAAAGTAACAAAATGCTGATCTGTCAGCACAGGACACTTCTCAGTTGTGATGCTGCATGGAGTTGTGGTAGCACTCAAAAAATTTATTGCCATGGTGAAGTCAAGAGTTTTTCCACTGTGGTTCTCCTTTGTCTTGTGGTGCTAGCCAGCTGTGTGCACCAATAGCTGTTACAACTCTCTGTATGTGCTTTCTTGGAGAGATTTGTTATACATGCCAAGCATCTGGAAATGTGCTTTGAAGGGCCCAGACTTCTGTTGACCCAGATCACAGGTGGCCCTTTGATTACTGATGAAATGGAAATGTTGCAAAGGAACAAATTGGAATTTTCAGAATTAATGAGTTGATTTCATAAATGTAGATTAGATCTGTGTTTGCAGAAACATGATTATGAATTGTTATTCATATGTAAAAGTCAGTCTGTTGTATGTGATGAAGAATTATTTTGAATATTGTGAAGTGATGGTAGATATCAGAGTGCTTATGTTACTGGTAAATTCCATAGAGAGATTTCTGGTATAGCTCTTTTTATTTTTGCCTCAGAGAGATGAAAGATGCTTAGTTCTATTTGTTACGCTTCTTGGTGGTACATACATTTACTTCACAAAGTCTCAAGCCAAGGTAATTTTTATTGAATTTGTACTGAGATAAAATAGCTGTGGAGGTTATTTGCTTTTTCACCTGAAACATACATTAATCACAGAAGTTCAAATTTACTTTTCAAAAAAGTAAAACATTTCATAAATTACCTTTAGAATGCATGTTCCTGACAAAGTCAGTTCTGGCTTCATTCTGTAATACATTTGGAGAACAACTAAAAACCCCACTCCTTTAAGTCAGTGACTCAAACCGTAACTATACCAGTAACTTTCCTACCCTGCGAGCCCAAACATTGGAGTGGAACATACTGTTGCCTTTCCATGTGAAAACAGGGATTCTGTAACCTTTCAACAGACTGATTAGAGCCTTTCTCTGACCATCCCACCTTTGAGTTCAAAGATGCACCCCAAGTAGTGAAGATACTAATCAACGTATGAAAGAAAATATAAGTGCCTGTTTTAAGCTCCATTATTCACATTTTCCACAAACCAGAAGGAGTTGAACAACCCATGAATAGGTATTAAATGCAGCTATCGTGCTCTACTTCTGTTTCCTGAGAATTAGAACATCACTTTATCAGCTGCAGAATGAAGAATTGCTCAGTATAAATCACCTCAGTTTA